TTTTACTCTCCATGAGATAAATATTGATTTAAATCTCAAATTCAGAACTTGGATCAGAAACAATGCTATTCATCTGTTATTATCAAACAACAATAGCCAGGGATGTCATACAAACCCAACAAGAGTCCAGTTGCCACCACCAGGATGGCACATGCAGGACAGTATCTGAAGAAAAGGACCCTGTGGTTACATCCACCTTCGATACTGGTCCAGGGACTATGGCTTTTACACCCACTGATATACATTCATAAGACCAAAATACACTGGCCTTACTAAAATGACACTAGTCAGTGGCATTTGTCTTGGGCTAATGCCTCAACAGGGCTAATGCCATAGCTGATTTGCAAAGGTAACACTTGGATGAAGCCAAAAACTGTACCATATGGATCACATGGATCACAGTATTAATTCAACATTTAAAATAGCCCCATGTACAGATGTAGTTAGGACTATACTTATAAAGAATGACCTCTGTGTAGTGTTAATGATAAAAAGTGTGTGAAATCTGCTTGGATATTCTGAAAACAAGCCTGGAGAAAATATGATTTTATTTCTTAAAATATATAGGGAACTGGGTCTTTATCAGAGGTCTCGCTCTCAGATTTAAAGCAGTGCCTTATTCCAACACCACTAGGCAAGACTTCGCTTGCCAAAACTGCACTGCATCAGAAGAACCAAATGTGGAAGTCCCACCATGAACCACGGCCTTGTGGAGCCTGATCCTGCAGGACTCTAAGTGCCAACTGGTATATGGCTTCACAGCCTAAGTGCTTAAAATCAGAACTTGAGCTCACAGCTGATCATCTCTAGCAAAATCCTCCAGCTGTCAGAGGGTCTCAGTTTGGCTTCAGAAAGGAAGCTCTTGATAGGCTTCTAGGAGCAACCATCAGCATCGTAAGTGCAGATCTGATGCTAACAAAAACCACTCCTTTTATGCCGTCTTCCCTAGAAGACAAATTAATCAGAGATAAAAAGACTCTCTTTCAAAATATGGAAAACAGCAACAAAGATCCTCATTTAATGCTAATTGCATTAATTGTCAGAATGATATGTTGTCTTCCATGTTGTCGTGCTTTGTCTCTGCTTGATCTTAATGAATGCTGACTCACGGTGACGTGCTCTTTCTTAGATCATGTATGTTGGTATAAAAATACACCCAAACACATACTTATTAAGTAGTCATGTGTACACACACACAGCTATTAGAAGCTCTGCGAGAGAAAAGAAAATCATGATTGTAGACTTCATTCACTATCTCAGCAAGTCATGAACAAAGAGCGCGGGGAGAATATTTTTACAATTAGCTAACAGACTCCTCTAAGTTGTATCTCTACAGCTCTTTGTGATGGTTATCACATTTGTGAGGACATTCAGAAGCACAGGCTACAGATGGCTTACCAGAGGCTGACCACTATCCCAATTCTCCTCTACACAGCTTGTCATCTACCCATCAGACATGTAAAAAATAGAATGACACCAACAACTCTTTCTGGCCAAAATATTCTACCAGAAAGTGGTGAAATTGAATAATCTAATGAAGAAGTAAAATGAGATCTTTAACAACAGATTTCTCATGAGGCACAGAGGATCTGATGTTTGCAACAGAGAATAGTAACCATTTTTCAGACAGTTATTTATTATTTCTATTTAGTTTACTCTTGCAACATAAAATGAAATGCATGCTGGAGACCAGAGGTACAGGGGGGTGGCATTTTTTGCACTAACCAATGCAATACAGTAATTAAATCACAATAACCCAACCTAACTGGTTTGAAGAAACCTGTTCAGAAATCTGAATAACATTAAAAGAACCCATACTTTGGTTGACAGGTATGCCCATCATTATGGAGAAATTATACAATCTCACAGTGTGTCAGACTGAATTATATCTTTTCAGCTGCGTTTTTAGCTGTCAAAACAACCTGTTGGAAGTATTTTATTTTATTTTATTTTATTTTATTTTTCCTTCTGTTTTCTCTAAGCTTCTAAATCATTTTCTCCGGAATCACTGAAAAATGCTATCCATCTCTTATGAGCTTTATCTTAGGTCTCTTCTAGCCAGACTAAAAATTGAAGGGAAAAATATAGAAGAAGAATAATTTGAAACATGCACAACCCCCAAATCTTTGTGCTTTTGCACAGTAAAAATCAAGGAGACCCTGAAGGAAAATAAGCCTGTTGGTGAAATTGAGGGATTCAGAATAAAGTCATTCGTACCAATATTTTCAACCAAAATCTAAGTAAAATCAGTTTTATTTCTGTATTTTCTTTTTCCTTTTTTTGGTCAAGTGTGGATGAACACACTATCTTTTTCATTTACTTTTCATTATCACCCTATTGTTACAAGCCACTTTTTTATTTACTTGGACAAAAATAAATGAAATATAGTACAACTAACAGATAAAGCAATTTTCTTCAGAGCTCTTCTATAAACACCTTGTGATATGGGAAGTAATAGTTTTGTATTTCCTTATCAGGCTCCTGCTGATTAATAATGCTGTTGGCTTTGCTATTCCATCACTTGATGAGTAGAAATACCAGTTTTGAACTTTATTCGATATTGCTTGTTGCACATTAAAAATTCAGTCAGGAGAGAAATAAGTGTGAAAATATTCACTAGGTTATAAATGATTTAGATTAATTGACAAGAAAAAAATAATTCATTCACTAAGAAACTAATTATTGTTTATTTATTGCTCAGAATGTGCTGCAAATTTATATTCATATTTTAAAATATCTTCCTGTGACCAAAAACATTAGAAGCTGTTAATCAGGACAGCACCATCAAAAAATTCTTGCAATATCATGGTTTGTCTCCAAACTGCGGTCTGCAGAACTGATCTATACATCAGCTCTCTACAGTGGTGGGATGTGAGGCTGCAGATAATACTATAGTGACTGTGGGACTGGGTTATATCAGGTTAACATAACTCACATTCACATATGTTGACTCATTTTTAATTTGTTCTTTTCACTGTTTTTATCAAATTCAAACATGAGCCTTGACTGTAAAGCTGCAACAAAAGTCTTTACAATTTTGATTTGAAAGATCCAGTGTCTTCACAGCATAAAAAGAAATTTCTTTGAAGAGTTTGGAAGAAAAAGCCAGCAGAGAGGAAAGAGAAAGAAAGGGGACTGAGGAAGATGTATGTGTGGTATGTGTGTGTGAATGAGTTCACTTACACTTGGTCATGTAACGCTTCTAGTGTGTCTGACTCCTGTGGGCATTATGGAAGACTGTCAGTTACTCAGATAAACTTGGATAAATTTTCATAGAGGGTTGCACCCTGTCCTATTTTGGGCAGTATGACATTCTTGTGGCTAACCGCAGCCCTATAGCCTAGACAAAAGCAACCATGTCCATTTGGATTGTTGCTTTGAGAAAAGCATCATGTACTGGTGCTCAGGCCACTTCTCTACATAGAATCACAGAATCATAGATTGCTTAAGGTTGGAAGGGACCTCTAGAGATCATCTAGTCCAACCCCCCTGCACACGCAGGGTCACCTAGAGCACGTGGCACAGGACTGCGTCCAAGCGGGTTTTGAAGATCTCCAGAGAAGGAGACTCCACAACCTCTCTGGGCAGCCTGTGCCAGCGCTCTGTCACCCTCACTGTTAAAAAATGGTGCATTAAACCTCACTTTCCAGCACAAGAACCTTCTAGGAACCATAAAAATATGAATACTACGTGCTAGGTTCATTAAGATACTGACCCATACATGAAGACTATGCAAGCCCCAGCCACCTTTATCACAGACATGAAGAAGTAAATCTCCACAGTCAGTAAAAATGCAAAGAATACTCTAGAACTTTATCTTACTATTTAATATCTAAATTTCTTACACAAAAGGCATTTGAGGAATTCTTGAATATCATAATATAATAATACCCAGACAAAAACTGCATTAAGAGTTACAATTCAACATACATATCAATAATTTAAAGTAAAATACATCACAGGGATATATATTTAGCCTCAAGCAAGATTTACAAACCTAGAAAGTTTACAGATTTGGTTATATATATATGGTTTTGGCAAGAAAAACAAATGTGTTTAAGAGTTGAAAATATGAAAACAGCTGCCTAAGAAAAATAGGAGTCAATGGCCATTATGAAAAAGGAGGCAGCATGCCTTTGGCATCAGACCTATTGAGAACATTGCATACATTTTCTGAAGAAGAAAATTCTTCACGAAATTCTCTGGAAGGAGATATTACATGGCAACCTCTATTGAAGAAGGCACTCTACAAAGTCTGAATTCAAATACAGAAAAATTTGAGAGAGCTGTTAATAAAGCTGTTTTATAAATATATTTATGTGTAAATTCTCCAAAAACTGTTTTAAAGAATTAGTTATGTCAATTTGAGTAATACTTTCCACTCTTCATATACAAATGCAATAACATTTTAGATTTTGGCTTTAAAACTCAACTCACTATAGAACCACTTGGGGTTTTTCCAGACATAGGTCATTATTGCCTGGCAAACAAATGGAAAACACTTATGTGTAAGTTAAGTGACTTACAACCCCAAGTCACATCAAATAAAAGACTTAGGGGTCCTATGTATTCCTGAAGTCACAGAGGGTTTTTTGACACACAATTACCTCAATGCATGAAAATAAGTAAAACTCTCAAAATAATAAATTACTCTTATTTAATCATACTTAATGCAGTATTCCTGTCCCAAAAACACATTACTAACTATGGTTCTCACAACAGTCATTAGTTATATCTAAACACAAAACCATCTCACTCATGGAAGTGTATACTGAAGCTTGTATAACAGCCTGGTCCCCAGAAGATCTCAAAGCACTTTACAAATGATAATGGGTGGATATGACAATTGTTGGACATGCACAGCTTGCACTGAAGTCACAAAATGCATCTCAGAATTAAGCCATAGTCAAAGAGCCTGTTTTTGCACCTTACTCACTAAAACTCCCACTGGCTTCAAGACCCAGTGAACTTGGAGGAGGTGCTTTGGTGAATGGGAAGTGCTGAACAGGGCTCACATTGCATTTCACAACGTTCTCATCGTCATGCTCCATTACGCCTTGCTACGTCACACCCCATTTTACACACAACACCATATAAAGAACCAAAGCGATCTGCAATACCATAATAGTAGAAGAACCTAGAGAAAAATAAATTAAAAGAAAAAGATAAAGAAAAGTTGATAAGCAATGCAAATGTATATGGTAGAGTTAAGAAGAACCCACGATGCCTGGTTGTCAATCTTATGCTTTAACCTCGAGGTCAAGTAGCCCTCTTCTGCTGTCATTGCCACAACAGACCATGAACTGAGAGTGAAAATCTGTGGGGAAACAAGGAAAATATGAGAAAGCACCTCTTTGGGCTTGGAAGAAAAAAAAAACCCTCACAGAATGCTTCTTTTGGGTAAGAATCATATTGCAAGACTGCAGACCACAAAGCTAGTTCAAGGCTCCTGTGAAGTGCAGGCAAAAATGACCTTGTCCATCTCAGGAATGGGATGTTTCAGCAATGAAAAGGAAGGGGATAGAGAGAAGGGGCAGAGCTGGGATGGAGAGGAAAGGGGAGAACCTTGGAGAGCCAGGCTGAGGACAGGGGACACCTTAACCCCCCCAGCAACGCTGCTGCCTCCAAGGCTCCAGTACAGGCAAAACAGGCAGAGGGATCATCGCTATTTTGCCACCCTTTCAGTCTGCACCCCTGGCCTCCTGCCTGCTCTTTCTGTGCTTTAACCCCACTTCATTTCCATGGCCCAGTGTAAAATTTGTCACTTGTGGAAGTGCTTAGCCAAAGCTAGTTTTGCAAATGGTTACACTAGATTTTTACCCTGGAAACCCTGAAAAGATATAGAAAACCGAACATTTCAATCTTTCCTTTACAGTATTAGGAATCCATGATATTAAAGAATCTAAATCATATTTTCTTTCAAAATAAATTTACCTACCTTTTTATTTTTTAACACTATCCACTATTTTATTGGTCCTAGCCGTTAGAATTTTTTGGTGAAATTAAAAATATAGTAGCTGTAAAACCAAGTATGAGCTCCAAGAAAGCTGTAAATTTTCCAAATAACTAATACATTTCCTACTGCAGCCATAAATCACTTTTTATGTTAAAAGCAGATTGCTCAGTAATTGTCATTTTAATTACTATACTGATGTAAGAAATTTAAATATGAGTTTTCAAGCTTAGAACAACATAGAAACTTAAGAGAAAATGCAGAATCAGTGTAAAAAGCAATCAGCAGCCATGGTTTCTACTTGCATTAGAATTAATAATCATAATAATAATGATAAAGAACTATGACAATTTTACGATCCAGTTGTGGCTCACTGTCTGCCCTTGGGGTCCCAGTGTCAGCTACTCATCTCACTCTATTGACCTCCAGATCTAGAAGTGCTAAAATAGACAATAGCCAAAGATGTCGTAAGAGGAGCTGAGAAACATTTAATGCGATTTCCAATCGCTCTTGGCTGAGCCACAAATATTTTGAGAGATTTCAAAAACAAAAGCTCTACTGAGCAGAAGGCTGGGGATTCATGGTAGATCATTTCCAGAAGTATTCTTTTCCTTTATCTTTTTAATGGAAATGAAACTTTTAAGAGTTAGAGCAGTTACATTAGTAGCAAACAGGAGATTTGCTTGGTAGAATTTTTTTATTACTCAGTTGACATAAGAACCATCTTAACACAAAGCATAGCATCACATCTGGACCTTTATGTAGGCAGAACAGAAAGAGCAACTATTCTGTTACTGCTTTTGGATCTGGATTTCGAAGCCTTCCCTGTGCCTAGCACTTCCTGTTGACTGTCTTTGCAACTTCAAAAGATAGTACTAAGCATAACAATAATTTTGGCTTCAAACAATGTGAATATGGGCTTTTTTACACAGCATCCTGGTGAGGGGAGTATCACAAGACAGTGCAGGAAGGCACCACCAACAGTTGTAACTCTCTGAATAAGATTTCAGTAACAACAAAGCCACTATATACATGTCTCTTTGCTTAGAGGGATGATACTATAGATACATAAATAAATATATCAAATCTTTGTGCTAATTGATAAATGTTACTTTTTTAACACTACAATCAAATGTAATACCTGTAATATTGTCTACCTTTTGAACAGCCTCAGATTTTCATGGGTCTCTTTTGGTAGCTAAGGGCTTATTTTGAAATACCACAGAAAGATCTAAACCAAAAGTATACCATGAATTGAGTTTACTCATTTTTATACTTATAGAGAGTAAACTGGGCTTATTTCATAATAGCAGCGATCTGCAATCTTTTCCAGAATTGTTGATCAGAGCTGATCTGTCTCTTTTATTGGACTGCTAAAGCTATTAATTTATTGGACTGAATCCAGAAATATTCTCATTCAGAAAATATTTCTGTTGTGCTCCTATTCCTTTATTCTGTAGCTCAGGAAGCAATGCATCTTATGAGGTCCTGCCTATTGGACATCCTGGGAGAAGCAACCATTATCCCTAGAGAAGAAAATGTGGGGATGATGTACCCAAACTTTACCGTTTATAAGGTACCACAGCAGTCCTTTCAAATGGAAATACTTAGGACTTTTCCTGAGCTCTTATGATTTGAAGAGAAATGTTTCATGTGGCAGATGAAAACTTCCAAGGAAACCAGATGAATGTGCAAAATAAGGTTATTTAGTAAAACTCCAGTTACCAACTGTGTCAATTATTTCCATCATGCTACGGACACATCCCCTCTATTTGTATTATATGACAATGTTAAATGTTTAAAATTAATAATATTAATATAAGAATTTTTAATTCCAATGCAAGTTGACTCCTAATATTAAAACTTATTACTGTTTCTGTACAATAATCAGCACTTATGTTGCCCTCTATACTTTCAAAACACAAATATTAGCTAATCCATAATACACTTTTCTGATTTTTTAGGGTGATTGTGTTGGTTAAAAAAGTAATCAGAGGAGACTTGTGTAACGTCAAGCAGAGAGTAGGTTATGCATTGATCAGTGCTCTCTCTCCCAGGCTCATCATTAGTCATGAATTTTTGCTTTTAGTAACCACAAACTGCTTAATTTTACATTTTGACTGAATCGAATCCAAGAATGATGAAAATATGAGGTCTCTTCTGGAAGTAAATTGTGAGGTGGGCCTACAAACAGCAAGGAAGCACTGCTAGCCACCCAATATGTAGATGATACATACCTTGAACTGATTTGTCCTCATCTATAACAGGGCAGAGTGCCTAAGCTATATGCAAATTCTGGAGCTTGTTTTTCCAAGTAAAGCTAATGCAACTACATTACTCTTGGGAGACAAATTGATATATCTGTATGCTGCACTCCAAGCTGTGCAGGCAGATCTCCTCACTCATGCCTGCATTAGATTATTTATATCAGGGGCTGCTCTAATGCTCTTAGATGGTGGGTATCTCAACACAAGGTTTTTCACAAACGCACACATACACACGCATAACACAACAGAGGTTCAAAAGAACAGTATTGAATCAAAAATATATCGCACAAAGAAAAGCCACCACTAAAGCACCCAGCTTTACAACAGTTTTTCTTCACTCACTTCACAAATGCAACCACAGAGAAGCCACGATATCAAGTCCTTATAACTCCTCTGCAACCCCCAGTCCCCTGGTAGCCGGATGTTGGTGTCTGCTGGTTCAGAGACAGCAAAACACCCATGAGAGTGACTTTGCAAGCACATTTGCATTCACATTTGTAGTACACGGACCCGTACAAAAGCAAAACAAGAAAATCAGTGACAGAGGTCGCAGTCAGCTTCTCCACATGCTACCACAGATGCTATCCATGCTTGGCACAAGAAGGAAATTAGACTCTGACATGACACTGTGAGGGCACAATAACTCCGTAACATGCTCTGAGTGCCATATAGTTCCATATAGAAAGTTGTTACATGTCACTATTAACACAGAACAACAAAGAAAGATTTTAGCAAGGTTTATCAAGGTCTGGCTGGGAGGAGTGACACTGTTCACAGAGCAGGAGCTGCCCTAATGTGGACAGTGTTGTTTACCACTGCATGAAGAGGGCCTGAGGCTATGGTAAACAACATTTGCAAAAGCAACTGATAACTTTGACAACATCAGCTTTGGGAGCCCAATTGAGACAAACATAAGAATCCATATTTATTGATAAAAATGCCCTGTACTGATTCTCCTTAGAAAAAAACAGATTCTTGTCTAAGAGGCGTATGAAGAAAACTTAAGCTGACGTAAACTGTCTGACTACCATTTTTATTACACATTATATTTTAGTCACCAAACAGGACTGATGTGACAATGAAAGCCAATTTCTACAAACTTTCTTCAAAGTTTATCAAATTTGAATTTTCTGTGTAATTCTGTGCTATTCTGTGCAAGTCATTTAAAAGCAAACACACAATATGCTAGAAACACTAACAATAATTATTCGGGTTAGTCTCACATTTTTCCCTTGCAAGTCACTACAAAATATTTAAAGATGTCCAATACCAACCTCTCCAGAACTGGTGACTAATGTTCAGGTTTCTAAATCCATGTTTTGGCTGTGGAATATAATTAATATGAGTTTGAAAAGAAGCAATCATTCGCTTAATTCAGTAGTTCAGAAAATCAGGATGTTTCCATTTAGATGTTTATATTTGAGAACCTAACTTATAAAATACTAACTATAATACTCTTAACTCTTAAACCATTTTCTAAAACAGAAGTAGGGGGATATGGAGTTTCTAATAGGAAATGAATCCTAAGGTTAAAATACATAGAATCTTTAAAATATATCACATAATTTATCCATAAATTTAAAAGATTTTCACAGTAAACTATGGCCAATGTTTAATTTTAATTTATTTTCTATACCTCAGCTTTTACTGACATGTCTAGCTTAGCCATTAGTATGTTACCCATTACTAATATGATAGTAGATACTGTCTATCTTCATTGCATTGGTCTATCACGCAAAAGGCTTTCTCACTCAAAATAAATATTAAGGAGAGGGTTTTTTGAAGCTGACATGACATTTTCTCAATATCTACTCAGCTAATATAGCACTGAGAATGACAATGAAGCATAAATCTGATCCTTATTTCTTATCAATGCCAGGTTATCAGCAATAAAAAAGAAAAAAAATGACTGAGATCAAGACCATAAATAAAATAATTTACTGTAGAAGTAGAGAAGATTGTAAACATTTCCAGAGCCAATGAATTTACTTGCTGAAATAGTTCTGAAGCACAGCATTACTGAGCACAATTGTGTGATCAGATGCTCTATAGCTTTTTATTTATCCTCCAGACATGTGTAATCTAAAAATGTGTGAC